ATAAAATTTTAATAAAGGAAAAAAAATGCAAGGCTAATCTTTTAAGAGAAGGTAGAATAAAAAGAAAAAATGAAATGGAATACTAATTCGTCACGTGACAAATTTATACCCTATAAAATTTTTTATGCGAGTAGTATTTGTTCCGTTTTTTTGGAATATAATTCGATGATCTTTTTTTCTCCATATGGTCTGAGGATGTCAAAATCTTGTGCTGGAGAGAAAGATTTGGTTAATTTCAATTTATTTGCCATTTGCCATAAATTTCTTTACTTTCTTGATCGGAGAAATATAACTTAAACGACTTTTATGCGAGAGGGCGGTAGACGAGACATCTTTCTGTATATAAAAAGGTAGAGCATTTCGCAATGAACACCATTTGATTGATTCAAATTCAGTTCACTGTCCGTTGGTTGCTTTTGCAAAAATACCACAGCAATGAGGTCAAATTTGGCGAAAAAAAAAAATATATATATATAGATATTTACCTAATTTTGAATTCAAGAAGTTCAAATGCAAGTAATAACATTTGATTTCAATTGAATTCGGCTGAAACCTATTGCATGGGATCTCATTTATGATGATCACAATTACCATATCTTTCACTCCCATATAAGCATGATTTGCTGATTTCCATTTATTTACATAATAACTCCTCGTTTCTATCAGAGAAATGGATTTACGATAACTTTAATCCGTGTTTTATTTATTTATTATTTTTTATGGCATTTTCCGACGTGGATAGACCTCTCGTTAATAAGTACTTGCAACTCGAAAAATATTTTGCTGCGTCACGTGTGATTAATCTGCGGGTCGCAAATCTACCTGCACGTTTATCTTTCATTTTATCATTCACCAATTTTTTTTTTTAATTTTAAATTATAAACATTCCATCATCCACTAAGAATTTTATTTAGAATAAACATCACATGTAACGGTTATACAAAGAATAAGTGTTCTCGTGAACTTACAGGTGCTTTTCCTTTGAAAGTCACAACATTCACATATTACAGTAAATCAGGGTGTGAACCATTTTATATAAACATCATTTTTTGATAGGTTTCCTTTTTTTTTTATATATATTTTTTTCTTTTGAGGAAAAAAAAAAAAAAAAAAAAAAAAAAAATCCTTTCTTTTTTTTACGAAAAAAAATAAAAAATAAAAATGTGGATTATTAATATAATCGCAAATTTATTCCATTTATCATATAAAATTTTGACCATTTCGATTATTACTATAAATCAATGGGTAGCGTTTGCAGCGCATTTAATAATGATGTAATATTATATATATCTTTCTTTTCTGGGGGGTTATTTTTTCTTTATTTCTATTTTTTTTTTTTTTTTTGTCAATCCGTTACTTAATCTTTTTCTCTTTATATTAGTTTCTTCATATGGAATATGCTATTGATAATTATTGGAATCGTATCGACGCTACAAATGATAATAGGATTCTGCTATGATGTAAAAGATGTAACTTCCTCCCCAACAACCATAAAGGATTCCAAAGAAAAAAGTGAAGATAAGCAACCAACGTATTGGCAACAACGTCGTATAGCTTTTCAGGACATGATTGATAACCTTTACATAAATTACATGGAAAAATTGGTCAATATACAACAAGAACAAGCAAAGTATTGGCCAACGATGGATAATTATTATATTTATCCTCAATCACGTTATAATTATGATGATTACGAAGGGGAAGGACAAGAGATAATGGAAGATAATGGTGAAACTAGTTCCGATGGTAGTGGTTTGGAACCTGGTGATGCTGGTAACAGTAATCATCTTTATACTCCTCCTATCAAAATTACTGAAGACACTTCCATGTCCTATTAATTCCTCATTTAATATTATCACTTATCTTACTTTATTTAGCATACCCTCTAATTATATAAAAATTATATAGAAGTATAATGTAAAGGATTAAAATTAAATAAACTACTTCAAATGATTTTTTAAAAGTATTCTTTGGCTTATCAAATTTCAAAATTAATAATTTTGATAGAAAAGTGAAGTGATTATAAATTTTTGAATCATTTCAAAACATTGTCTGTCTTCTGATCCTCTTGAGTTTCATCAGTTGAAATAAAATCGCACTTCGCTCCGACTCGTCGTGCTAAATTAGACCGAGCTCCTTGACGTAGAATCTGCGCCTTGCAATGACTTGTCATTTCTCAAAGAAATTTATCAGCCTCCTAAATATTCGCGATCAAGAAAGCAAATATTAACCATTACACAAATATAAAAGCGTACTAAACAATATATTTTATATTATTTATCTTACCATTGCTTTAGTGAAAATTTCTATCAATGCTTCAAGCTCTTTGCGTCCAATATGACAATCACGATTTTGTGATATTCCATTATTAATTTTTTGTAATGATCTATTCAGAGACTTTTTGGAAAAATATACTTCATCATTTTCATTGATCCCGAAATTCCCAGCTATCTTTATCTCGGACCTTCCAAAAGGTTCCTTTCTTTTTTATGAAATGTGAAGAAGCCATTGTTTCGAGGATAATAAATTTTATGATAATAAAAGTTGTTTTAAATTAAACTAGCTAGAGGAGTTCAAGAAATATAATCAACCTTCTCTTTGATCCGACATATTTCTGTAAGTTTTTGTTGTTCATTATCGATGATCCTACAATATTTCATGACAACTTCGTTACTTTATGAGTGGCCTTTGGCTTTCTTAGAAGCCATTTAACGTGATGATATTCGAGTGTTTATGCATAATCACGAAATCAAATAAAAAAAAAAAGAAAAAATTGAATACTAAAATAATTCCCAACTTCAATTTAAATTATCGGTAAATAATTACAGTTTAGTTACTGTACAAGACCTCTTCCCCGAAAAAATTAATCGAAAGGATGACATGCATGATAAAAATGGTTTGTTCTCTTTCATGAATGCTTTAAAAAAAAAGTTATATTAAATTCTTCCGCGATCCCATCAACATCAAGATTTAATTTTATTGGTTGATCTCGATAATCTTAAGATTAGATTTAATATACCAAAGATAATATCGATATCTCCGTTATCTATCGTATAATGTCACACCCTTTACTTCTTCTATCTTGAGGGAAGACATTAGTATCCTCCGACATTAATAAATATATATATATATATATATTATTCTATATGTATATAAATTTTACATGAATTTATATTGATATAATATATAAATTTAATTTCTAAATGTAAAAATTGCATTTTTATAAAAGATTTAAATATCTGATTTTTTTTTAAAAAAAAGTAAAAATTATAATTATTTAACTACAATTTTTTTTTAAAAAACAAATATTATTGTTAATATGAAACATTAGAATAAAACTTATTAAAAAATTAAATCTAAATCAAAAAGTATTTTTCTTTGGTTTCTAACATACTTTAATAACTAATAATTTTAATAATTTTATATAAAAATAAATTCGATACTAATTAACTATGATATTAAGATTATCGGATAACCAAAACTACTTATCTTTAAAATCGGTCTTAAACCAGATATACAGTATATATACAGTTTAAATAGTTTAAATTTTAAAAAATCAACAATGCATTATATAATAAAATTTAACTGAACATGATTCTTTACAAGGTAAGAAAACAAAAACCATGCGAATGTTGAAAAAGAATGAACATTCCACAATGAACGCTTACGAAAATATATACTAGGTTGTTTACTTTATATTTAATGGTTTTTTTTTTTTTTTTAATAATCACAAGTAAACTCCCAGCCATTTTATTTAAAATCATCCAATTATCATTCAAATCATAAAAGTTCACCCCGAATCCTTGTGATTTTATTGATATTTGGAAATTCCCTGGAGTACAAACGCCTGAAAAAAAAAAAAAAACAATAAGACATCATGCTATGCTAAAGTCAAATAGGCCCGTGTTTTTTTTAATTGTCTTCTTTTTTTTTATTGTATAATATAATAAAAAAGATTTTTTTAACCGCCAAATTTTACTTATAAACGAGTGTATATATATATGTCTCTTTTTCTTTATCAAAAAAAAAAAAAAAAAAAAAAAAAAAATTTCTTTGTTCTTGTTCTACAATAATAAACTTTTTAGAGGAGCAAATTTTTTATTTGGGACAATACCCTCTGTTTCAACCGAAAAAAAATTTTTTTTTTTTTTGTGGAAGTTCACTTTTTCTTTTTTTGGGTCTAATATCTTTTATTCTTTTTTTTTCCTGCACAATAAATAGAAGTTGTCTGCAGTTGAAAAAAATTTTCTTAAAAAAGAACAACCCTATCAGCGTTAGCTTAAACAAAATTCAAGAAAAAAAATTTTTTTCTCTGCCCTTTTTTGACGAAACAAAAAAAAATATTTGACAAACAAAATAAACCAACTTAAGTTAATTTAACGAAAAAAGGTATAGCAAAAGAAGTACATAACGAATAAAATGTCACCTCGTACGAACTCACCACCACCGTCTTCGTATGGGTACGACGATAATGAATATGATTATCATCCTTCGGGACCTTCCACGACACCAACAGGAGGAAATCAAACTTCCTTTAATAATATCCATCAATCAAATTTATATTCATCACAATATCATCAAAGTAATATAACACCAAATGGGACAAATTTATCTAGAAATGATATTTCAGGAACACCTTCTACCCGTAATAATTCCTCAAAGGATAATGATGAGAAAGGGTTATTCACCGCACTTCTTCTTCATCCATTGAATATACCAAGAAGAGTTCTTCAATCTTCAGCAGTAAAATGCGTATCCCTAATGGTAGTATATTCTTTCTGTTTAACGACAGTATGTTTCATATTCTTCGTTTCATACCTTTTAACGTTTTATGATGATGCCTTGAGGCTATTTCATACTTCACGTGCGTGGGCACGGTTGAGAAATGGAGTTCGAGAAAGAATTTCAATGATGGGTGATGATTGGGAGGATTTCCTTCAAAAATATTTTGATCAACCGTGGAATGGCGATGTCAATTGTGACGTTCACCTTGGTGGTGGTGTTGGTGGTAATAATTCATCCTCACCTAATGGAGGTTCAACTAATGATACAAGTTCAAAAAGAAATTCAAATGGAAATGGAACTTCAACTGGTGGTCCAAATCCTGATAATAAAGATTTCAAGTGGCTAAAAGGATTGATGTTAAGTTTTATGGCTGTTGTTGCAGGTCAAGATACCAAAGATGCAACCAATAGATTTCAACAATCTGCAAATTCTTTCCGTTCTCGACCTTCTTCCACGACGGTTGGAGGTGATTCTGGAAGAAAATAAATTTTTATATACAGTGTATATATATTATTTATATGTCGCATCTTGCAGGTACAACTAAAAACTTTTTTAAAATAGGCCGTTTCATTCACCCTTTTTTTTCATGCCTTATCATCTGAGAAAAAAAAAAACTTCCCTCCTTTCTTTTGATTTATATATATATATACGTTTATTTTTATATTATCATCACTATACTAATAGCATTTTGATAGTCAAAAAAAAAAAAAAAAATTACAAAAAGGTTGGAGGAGTTATTAAAGTAGAGTAGTAAAATGTAGTTGATATTGTATGTAATAAAAAAAAAAAAAATTATTATTTTTTTTCTAGTGTCGATCGATAAAAAAATTTGTATAATAATTTATTAATTTTTTTTTTTCGATCTAATAATTAATGAGCTGCGCATACCTTCGGGGCGTTTTAAAAAAAATAATATATTAAAAAAGACAAATTGCCATATTTTTAACTTTCACATGCTTTAAATTCATAGAATGAAACCATTTTTGGGATTTTAATTATTTTATTTTAGATCAAAAGTCCAATTCAGTCCTTTATTGGAATGATGTCCCACCAAAATAGACGCAATTGGGAAGCGTAATTAATCATGTTAAAGACTTTACTGTGTTTGGAGAACATTTGTAAAGAGAAACTGCGGGTGCTTTGGTGAAAGATTTCTTTGAATTTAAAAAAGGGTTATTCAGGAGTTGTAGATGATGGATGATGGAATAAACTAAATTGCCATAGTTAAGTAAAAAAAAAAAATTCAAAAGAAAGAGATTACAGTAATAAAAGTACAAAGATTTACAAATTGAAAAGAAAATTTCTTATAAAAAAGTGAACAATGAGATATATATGCTAACTTAAACCGAGAATAATTCCCAACACAAATGATGATGCTATATGCAAATTATTCACGATAATTTTTTTTGAGACATCTGAAGAATATGTTCCGCTCGCACCAAATTTATTCATGGTAGAATTCCCCAAAATAGAATTACCATTACCATCACATTTAAAAGATTTTTTAAATTGTATGGCTTTGTCAGAAAGATCAGCTTCAATCTTTTCATCAGGACAGACAGCACTACAAGCATTGTCAAAAATTTTCTGTATATTATCAGCAAATACGCATAAACAGCTTGCAACTTTTCTTGAAGTTTGTTGTTTATTAAATTCCAAAAATTCTTGCTCGGTTATTCCATTACAAGCTGATAAAAGTGACCTATTACGAGTCCAGCATTCATAACATTCTTGTTCCATATCATCATCATTCTTTGGTTTATCAACTTGCTTTGGCTCTTTTGCTCTATCATCAGGTACTTTCCCTTTTTCATCCTTGGGCTTTTCATTTTCATCCTTGGGCTTTTCATTTTTATTTTTAGCATCATTTTTAGCATCGTTTTTTTCATTGTTCCCTTTTGTAGGAGCTTTACCGTTTTCGGCTTTTGGTTTCGGTGTTTTGGCATTAGCATTTTTACCAGGTTCTTTAACATTTTTTGGTTCATCTTTTGATTTAGAAGGCGTCACTTTATTGTCTTCGCTTTGAGCAACGACAAATGATAATAAAAATACTAATATTATTAATAGCATTATTAAAAAGACAGGTCTAGCAAACAATTTTCTTCTACCCATCTTTATATTTTACACAGTTGTATTAAAAAAGAAAAGAAAGTGGGTAAACCACGGCAATTTAATTTAATGAGTTGAAAGGAATGAATTTAAAATTTTTAACCTTGGATATGTTAAAATTAACATTCCAAGAAAAATTAATGGAAGAGGAGAAAATATAGAATATTATTAATAAATACATTAATAAAATATACAATCGATATGTATTTATATGGTATGTATGGGAGCGTGATATCTCAATAAATTACATCTTACAAACATTACAAAGGTAATTTCAATCAAGCTTGATATACATTTTCGGAATTTTGATTGTATTTATTTTATTTATATTTTTGCAAAACAATGTATCCAATATCTTTGTAAATTTTTAATAAGAACACATTAACGTTAAACCAAGAAATAAATAAGGCGAGAAAATTCATGTTGTGCATCATTACCAAATTTGTTGTACAAATAAAGCAATTTAAGGTATAAAAAGAAATAATAATAATAAAAAAATAAAGTTAAAAAGGTTGAATAAATATTTTAATAACCATTCTTTAAAACATCAATAGGCTGGATGAGATTCATTTATAACTCATTTATTGGAGTCTAAGGGTTAGTATGACACATTTTAATGTTTGAATTTTCAAGTTATTAACTTACAAATCATAATAATTTCTTTAGAATATAAAGAATAACTCAGGATAATTTATCCTTGTAAACATGTACAGTTTATTATTTTGTTGATAAATTTGATATCTGTATTTTGTTTATATAAAACTATTTAAAAGAAAATAAAAAATTATTTATTATTTATATTTTTCATTATAAGAAAGAACTTTTTAGTAGATTATTTTAAATCAAAACAAATAATATTATAAAAAAAGTTATATAACTTTTGTAATTTTATCTCAAAAATATATATTAATAATTAATTTTTTAGCAATCATGATTTAATATAAATTTATTATTATTTATTTAATAAGAATTTGAAAAAGTATTAATATTTGAAATTAATAAACTAGAAACTTTATTTATTTTATTTTTTTTAAAAAAAAAAATTAAGTTTTTTTTTAAATATTAAACTAAAGCAATTTAACAGATTAGAAAAAATATAAAGTATCTAAAAGAAATAAAAATATATAAATAAAGTTTAAAAAATAAGATAAATTATTATGTAAATTAACCAAAAAAAAAGGTAATAAGCTGATTGTATAAAAAAATTATTTATTTTATTTAAATACTTAATTATTATATATTACTGTAAAAAGTCAATTTTAGTTTTTTTAAAAAATTATATTACATAATTATATTAAAATAAATAAATATTTAATTAATATTTAATAAAAATTATTAATTTAATTTTATCAAATATGATCAAAAAAATTTATTAAATAAAATAATTAAAAAATAAATCATAATAAAATAATTTAATCTTATAATTTTAGAAAAGCTATAAAATGTCTTATAAAATATCTTTATAATATAAAAATTAAATTTTAAAAATCAATATTTAAAAATATAAAAAAAATTTTTATTAAATTAATAATTTTAAATATTTAAACCTTTTATATAAATACATATAAATTTAACTTTATATAAATATTATATTTGCAGATTTTTTTATTAAAAAATATTTATACTTATGCTTATTTAGAATTTGTATCATTAAAAAATATAAAATGATATTTTCATTAAAATAAAAATAATTAATAATAAATTTTACTTATAAATAATAAAATAAAATAAATTTATTAAATTTATTTTTATTAAATTTTTTTTAGAATTTTAATATATTTTATAATTCAATACAAAAAAAAGTTGATATATAAAGATTGTTATTTGAATTTCTCCTATTATTTCTTAAACTGTAAAGGTTCGCAGGTAAATTTACCTACTTATTTACTATAAATTTCCTTCTAATTTACTTTTATGAAAAATTAAAATTTTTAAAAAATTTTTTTTATAAATATATATAATATTATAGTAAATTTTATTTTTTAATTATAAAATAAATAATTTAAGGTAACTTATAAACTAAAAATTTGTAATTTTTAAAAAAATTATAAATTAAAAAATTTTATCATTGACCTTTGATCATCTTATTAACATTTACTTTTAATAAAGTTGATAAAATATATATTAAACTATATTTTTTATATAATAATTATATTATTAACATTAATATTTTATTTTTTATTAAAAATTAATACTTTTTTTTATGTTTGCAGACAAATTTGCCTACTCTACAGTTTAAGAGATATAAAATTTAATAATAAAGTTATGTGATTATATAAATTATATATAAATAAAAATAGTTCTAAACTTTAAGATTTTTAATTAACTAGCTTTTCTTTTTTTTATGAATTGAATAAGTTCAAAACCTTTTAACTAATAATAAAAAAAAATGTTTATTTATATTTATTAATATTTTTTAAATATTTAATAATGCCAAAGTAACATTATAATTTAATACTATACAAAATGATTATTATAGTTATTGATATTGAAGAGGTAATAATTAGACATATAATTGTTGAATATAATAAAAATAAAATTTTTCACAAAAATCTATTAATAGCTAAAATGATTACAAACTTTTAAAATAGTAATTATTTTATTATTTATATTAGAGTATTATTATAGTTATAGTAAATATCAAAATATATTGTATAAATCACTAAAATATTACTTTTTTAATTACTATTTATAATATTAGTTTGAAAATTTATAAGGTAAAATAAGATTTTTACTAAGTTAGAAGTATTTTAAATATATTTACATTATACTACAGGTTATACTTAGATATTAAATTATAGAGTTATATATTTATTTAAGTATAGTTCATTAATTATTATTTTTGATATAATAATTGTAATAAGTAATAGTATTAATATGCAATCTTTTTAAATTGCAATTATTAGACATAATATCAGAAGGTTGATTCTTTTAAATTTATTCACATAATAAAATCTATAGTTTATAAGTTGATTAAGATTCTTTTATATATTAAAAATATATTCAAATCTATGATAAATGTATAATTTATCTGCTATGTACTGTCAAATATATTTAATATACTATTTTTATATATTAAATAAATGTTAATTATGTTACTAATACAAAGTATCATAAAAAAGTTTTAAGTAATTAAAAAAAAAGGTTTATTGATAAATAAACAAATTAAAAGAAAATATTATAACCGGATAATGATCTTGACGATCATAGATCTACAAATGTGTAATGAAGTACAAATGTCGATAATGTCAAATATATTTAACATGTT